TTCTCTCATTTCAAAAATAGCCTTTTTATTCTGTTATGGAAAAATGTGAAAAAGTGACTTAGATGGGCTTCACCAAAGCCAATCTTTTTTCATCATTTTTAACTTTCAGTCCCACATGAGCTTCATGGAAGCAAAAATACCAAAGTAATGAAATCCTGGGGTCTGTTCATGGGATGTTTCTGGTATGGCAGAAACGCAGACTTTCCAGAGAACTTGAGATTACTTTCTTGCTGTCTCGTACCTTTGTTTTTGCCAATTCAGCTCAGTGAAGTGGGTTGAAATACTATCACAGTGATTTACTTTGTACTTTCCGTGCTCTCATCATGGAAATGCAAATTACTCTGCAGCAGGCCAGACACTGGAGAAATTAAGTATTTTGGTACAAGGTTTCCAGCCAGAATTCTAGCCTGAGGAGTTAGATAAGCATCCAAATCTTTGCATCCTTTGAAGTTCTTCTGAAGTCAGAATAATTTTGAACTTGGTGAAAGTTCATGTCCAGATTGAGTTTCTAGTAACCAAGGGACGGTCTTGAACATTATTTCATTAATTACTTCAAACCATAGCAGGGTCAACATTAGAGAGCTTGAGTTTCAGATGAAAGCCTGCCTCCTCTCCTGCTAGGCACCATTTTGCTGAGATTAGGATAAACAACACAACAAATGTACAGCCTGCAGGGCTTTTTTCTCCTCACCAGCACTGCAGCTCCTTCTCAGGTCACCTTTTTGAACAATACAGGAGTCACCGGTGTCGATGGAGAAAGAGGGAGCTTTGTAGCATGCTGCTGGTGAACTTCAAAGCATCCAAGAAGTGTCATCAGCTGTCCTCCAGCTTTTGGGACATAGCTGGTCTTTGAGAAATACAGCTCTTAATGACATGCCTAGTGCTTAGGCAGATTTGGTGGGTAAAATACAACCTGAGACAGCTTTCCAGCTTGTTTTTCAAATACTTACAGCACCGCATGGGTGATGGGTGACCCAATTGTTACTGAGCATGGGGATACAAGAGAAGAGGAAACTTCCTTCATCACTGAGACACGCGATGAGGATGGCACACGGCTCCCTCCACCTGCTCTCTGTGCCTTGTAGGTGAATGAGCATCCTGGGTGTCTGTGGTGTGGAAGGCGAGGGAGCAGAGCACTTGTTGTCAGAGGAAACTGTGCTGATGAGATGGGCTTAAACCAGAGAGATGTGAGTTCCTCTGGGGGAAGAAGGAGGGTGAATTAGAGGCAGAGGAGAGGAACCGGAGCTTTGCGTTATTCCTCTAAGGGTTGTGTTGCCCTCATGTTGCTCTTTGTCATTAGCTGAATCACTGGAGCATCCTGTCAAATCAGCCTCCTGCATAGATTTTTAAAGCCCCTAATTGGCACCTGCAAGGTTACAAGTTAACAGAGTGCCTGTGTTTGCCCTGCACAGCCTTTCATAGCTTTTCCCCCAGCGCCAAGGCACTGGAGTGCTGCATGGTCGATAACCCGCTGTGGCATGAGGCAGCCCAGGCTATCGCTGGGATCCCGTCACATGCCCTGGTGTTTGTGTGACGCAGAGGGCTCCACTTTTTTTCTTTCCCTTTTAACTGTTATGCAAATGTTTCTCCATGTTTCCTGTTTAGCACAGTCTCTGAGCCTCCCTAGACATGCTATTCCGAGCTTGGCCTGCTTTCTGATAATTGCATCTGCATCCAGGCAAATGCCCCTGCAGGGTTTCTCTGCTCCCCCGGCCTTGCCAGCTCTGCTGGACAGCACCCTGCAAGGCCAGGGCTGCGCAGAAAAGGCCTGCCAGCAGCTGGCACAGCTCTGGGGAGGAAGACAAAGCTGCCTGCTGCTTCAGGCCTGCCTTTTTTTTTGTATAAAGGAGGTTCCTTTCCTTTGGCACTCCATCTTCCTGAGCAGAAAAACACTACTGAGACCCCCAGTCAGTGTCCAAGCCCTATCAATTTCTGGCTTCTCTGGGGGGATAAGAGCCAGGAGAGCCCCCCAGTGACAGCACCTGCAGGAGTCAAGTCATGAGTGTGGTCCTTTGCTGCCTTTTGGGAACTGTTGTGTGCCTTTGGAGGGGAGAAGAGGAACAGCACTGCTGGAGGAGCTTTGAGGATGATCTTTTATCAGATTGCCACTTGGAGAGCTGGGAATCTCCTGCTTTTGAAGTGCAGCCACTTCTGTCTTGCCACACAGTGGCCAAAGCCTGAACTAGAAGTAAAGTAGTAACACTTCCCCTTCATAAAGCCCTGAAGGCTTGCACAGAGGACTTGCAAAAGTCCTACTTAGACAAGTAGTAGGTTAGTTTTATCCCTGGATTACATCTAGAGAAGGCAGCAGGCTGTGGAAAGCAGGCTGCTGCCTGCGCTGGGGAGTGCAGCACAAGGCTGAACTGAACACGTTGTGGGGAAGCTCTGCCACAGGTGCAACAAGCCGGATGCTTTTTTCATACCTGAGGTTGGAATTATGACCTCTGAAGCTGTATTTCCTCTCAGGATTTAGTTTCCAGAAAATTAAAAATATGCGCAGGACCTTCCATACTCATCCACTGAAAGTGATGAAAGTAAAGTAACTCGGGCTATTTCTTTGTAGTTGGTTTCTTGCGTAAGTATGCAGGTGGGAAGTGTGTATTTGCTTTCCTGTCTGATATTCTCATATTGAACACAGGCCATGCAGTGCTGTAACTGAATTCCTTTCTCTGAGCAGTAGTCATAAATCACTGCCTCACCTCTTGCTGTAGGACAGCCACCAAGCTGGGCCCTGACTGGATGCTGCCATCCATCACTCACTTGGTCTGAACGTGTTTCACCACAGCACCCCCCAAGAGGTTTTCAGAAGTGAGTCTCCAGTGCAGTCAGAGAGCAAATCCGCAGGGAATTTCATTCCCCTTGAAATTGCTGGTCTCCCTCATCCAAAGGGCATTTTGCTGTTGGAGTTTCAGTTTCTGAGTGGTTACAGTGCATGATGCTGATGTCTGAATCTCAGTACCGCTGAAGGATTGTTATGGAAGTGGGTGCTGCTTCTGTTTGGTTTTTCTTCTTTCTTGAAGCAAATTCAGCTTACACAGCTCTCTGCAAATATCAGTGCATATCTCATAGGGGAAAAGCGTAACAGGTCTTTTAGAGGATGAGACAAAAATGACATAAAGGAGCTCTCCTCCTGTGGTTTTTTTTTTTTTTGGTGGAGTATCTGTACAGTTGAGATCTATCCAGCTTTTGTTTTCTACTGTATAAGTGGCTTTGATCTAAGTGCTGGTCATGAGCCAGTTATGCCTACAGAGCTGTCGCCATCAGGTACTGCACATACACTGAATTCATGGCAGTTGTGGAAGCGCTGACCTGTGTACATACATGTTGATGTGCTGAGGCACATACATGATTCCAGTAGAGCCTCCTGATACACTTCTCACCAGTTCTTGAAGTAGCTTCTTCCAGAGATCCTAAATGCGGATGGAAGTGGATCTGCCAAATGGCTTTTAAGTCTGCAGCATGTCTTTGAAAGAATAAGACTGATTCATGTGCAAAAACCCTTTCCTCCATCCTGATACATGAGGAAGGTCAAGTTTGATGTTGGAGTTGCTTTTGTTGTTTTTGTGTGGTGGTATCAAGGAAGAGAGATCTGGGGTGACAACCAGTGTGCCAGGAAACCCTCATCCTCTTCACAGTGCTGGAAAACTAACACCTTCTGATTTCCCATTGAGTATCTGACTTGCACTCAAAGAAAGTTGGCTGTGTTCAGGTTTAGTGGAGGATGACATCTCAGGAAATTAAAGGACATCAAAATTAAGGCACAAGTTCCTTATTACTCATCTGATCCCTGCTGAGGAGGTGTTCATGTGTGGTTTTGTAGTTTGTTCATGTTTTGATTGTTAGGATAGATTGTTAGGATAGCAGCTTCAGGACAATCAGTTATTTAAAGGACTGGCAAAAAAAATAAAAAATAAAAAATAAATAAAACTATCTAGTTGTTTGTGTCTTCATCTTTAGGTCATTTTCTTGCCTTTGTGAATTCCTGGAAATTTGTCATGCCTGACTGTGCATTGCTTAGACTGTGTCTTGTTGCAGAGTTTATTTCGGTTATCTACAGTCTCCACAGTGCTACATTCACTCCCTTCAAGTTAGCCTAGGTCAAATCAGAGCGGTTACAGTGTGGCTTTGAGCAGCACAGAGCAATTTTGCTGGCAGCCGAGGAATTGCACTGACTTCATCTCTAATGAAAACCCTTAGTAAATTCAAGTTCAAACCACATTGCAGTCATGATAGGAATTTTGGGTAAGAACAAGACTTGTGCTAATTACAGGGACTTAGTCACAATTTATTAACTCAGTGTTAAAGACACGCTCTTAGAAGTAGCCGTGCTTAGACAGATTGGGAATTGAGAGAAAACATGGTCTTATGCTTAAGGCTCTGAACACCGAGGTTCCAGTAATCGGGTTTAATTTCTTGTTGTGCCTTGTACTTCTTATGTCACTTCTTTTCTTTCTTTCTCTTTCTATGCCTCAGTTCTGCAGCTATTAAATCACACTGCTCTTCCACTCTTTGTCTCCCCTACATACACATCAAGTTCTTCAGAATGAGAATGTTTTTATATTAGTGGAGTATGCAATACATAGCTGCAATGTGGCCACTCCTGTACCCTGTGGGAGGTCAGGAGAGACCTAAATGCCGTGCTTGGAGTTTCCATGCTTCAGGAATTTGTCACCACTTTGAGTGGTAAGGCAGGAGCAGCTTTGGATGCTCATCTAGCTCCTGTCGCTGACTCTCTTTGGTAGATTTGGGACTCTTCTTTGAACTTTGACACTTTGCTTTTTTTCTCTCCTGCAGGGCAAGGAGTGCTGAGGCTGAATAAATTACTTTTTCTTAAAGTATTTGATTGCTAAACGTTATACATGGTTATAAGTTGAAGAATCCCCTGCATATGTAGAGGAGTGGGAAATGGATAAATGGGAAAAAAAAAAAATGTGTGGCGATACATAATACGTTCTAATACCTCACTTCTAATCTTCTGTATTTCTTTTTGTTTCTTCCAGGTGGAGCGGGAAATAGCCATCCTGAAGTTGATAGAACATCCCCACGTTTTAAAGCTGCATGATGTTTACGAAAATAAAAAATATTTGTAGGTATTACTGGCTTTTGCCAGAGAAAGGGGAAGGGAAGGAGGAAGGATGGGAGGGAGAGGAGGGTTTTGGACTTGGTGTCACATCCAAAAGAACGGGGGGAAAGGGAGGGTGGTCCACCCTCATCTGGTCTCCATGTCATATCTGATATTTGAATGAGGAAGGAACAGTCGGTATCTTCTTGGCTTTTCTCCTTTTCTTCTTTGTACTTTGCTTATATGCTCTTTCTTTTTCTACTTAAAATGGAGGAGAGAGAACAAACTAATTTTTAGTATCAAAGAGCAAGAGGAGAGGAAGGTTTGTACCTGTAAGATCTGGAACCATTTGGAATCAAATTGTTAAGTGAATGTTTTGGATAACCTCCCTTGCCTAATAGTCTTCACTGAATCCCTTGACTCTCACTGGCAGTGTTTTAACTTTGCCACCAATAATAAATTTCGGTTTTGAGGGCCACTGAAATCTCCTCATGTTTCAGGCAGTAAGAGTTAACTAGCAAAGCCTTTCTTTCTCAGATCATTGCCAGTGCCAAGCAGGGATGCTGCCCACAGACAGAGTCATTTTAGCTTGACAGTGCACTAGATATGTTGAATCTGTTGTCAAACAAACAGGCCACATTAATCTTGGCACAACAGGAAAAAAAATCAATGCTCTCCAAATGGAAAAGGGCAAACCAGTAGGGAACTCAATGTTATTTTCAGCTTTTTAACAGGTTATTGCAAGTAGAAGAGAGTGTTTAAAAAAAATTAAACTATTTTTAAGAACCACCATCCATCAGTGACCTCTCCTTAATGTCACAACACAAGAAGGGAATAACTGTTTACCCAAAGAAAGTGTGCTGAATGGAGGTAACAATCCCTCGTGGACTTTTCAGCCAGCCTTGTTACTGGAGCAATGAATTCCTGTTCTAGGAAGTGAGGCCTCTGTGCCAAAGGGTTAGCTTAGTAGAGCAGGCAGTAATTTCTTTTGGATTTCCTGTCCTCCTCTGGGGCAGCGCCTGCCATTTGTGGTGAAGTGGGGTTGCCAGAGTGCACTCATGCAGGCACGAGGTGGAGGCTGGCTCAGATGCTTTCTGAGCTGGATGCTGAGCGCTCTGTTCTCAGTGGCACAAATGGTCATGACTCCATTAATCCTGGTTTGCCCCAGCTGAGGACGGAGGCCCAGATGTGATGGAGACTGCTGTGTGTGCAGGAGAGGGATAGGAAAGGGAAATGAGGCTTAACAGTCAGGTTGTTGTCCTTTAATCCAGAGAAGGGGTTGGTGCCATTTGTAAGAGTACACACCTCTGTGTTCTGCTTTCAGTGTGGGTTGGATAAGGCCCCAGGCTTTTCTTCAGTTAAGAGAGAAGGAACATTCTTTGTGATTCTTGTTTATTTGGATGTTGCTTATTTTAGGTGTACACACACACACACACACACACACGCCCTAACCCAGTGTGCAGCTGATGTGTTCCAGGTAGGTGTGGTACACCCATGTGGTGCAGACAACGTAGGAAAACCTGAAGGACAAAGGCCATGGTCATCACTTGGGGTGAGGAGAGGGGTTATAGAGGTACTGAAGCTTTTTTGTTGCTCTGAAAACCAGTGAAGTCAGCAGCTGAGCTGAGCAATCCTTCTTTTCCCTGAAAGGCTTGGGGCATATTTTGCTCCAAACAAAGAATATCTAGTGCTCAGAGCAGTGGGGATGGTCTTACACCATGACTTCCAAAAAATGACTGCACTTCTTGGCAGACAAGTTGTCTTCTTGCTGAAGATCACCTTGTAAATGGAAGCCACCCATATCTTTAAGCTATATCTGGAATTCCTGGCTTCTAAAAAATGTTGGGCTCCAAACAGGGCTTTGCCAGTGACACAGTCATCTTCGTGCCATTGCTCCCATCAGAGCTGTGTCAGAGCTGCTGTCTGCCTCTCCACACTAAAGCACTGAATTCCTCTGCTGAAAGACACTAACTCCCTGAAAGTGCCAGTGACTCCTAATACTATTTCATTTTTTATTAGTCACTATTTTAAAGAAAGGGCATAATGCAGAGCTGTTGCCAAGCCTTCCTGTTCAAAATTAGAAACAACCATAGTCTTGGATAAAACTAAGAGTTAGAAGAGAGTGCCTGTGGAGGGGTGAAGTGTGTGTGGGATGAGAAGTGCGTATGCATGTACTTTCCCAGATAATAAGACACGGTGACCTCTAGTTCTCACCAGCACCAAAAGAAGGATAGCTCTCTGGTTGTGGCAGCACCTTTCCATCATGCCTGCCATCTCAGCAGTAACGATAGTGGCATGGTTTCAGAGGAGCTTGTGAATTATGGGTGATATTTCAGATGCTAGAGACTAATCACGATGCAGCACCAGGGAGTATTTCCTCGATTAATGTTAATTTCACAAATCATGTTTGACTTTTGGTTTATGATTTAATTTGTGACGAGGGGCTTGGTTGAGTAGATTCCTAATGCAACCATGAATCAAGTCCTTTTTCCACAGTGTATTTAACACTGAGAATGAGTTTCAAAAAATAATAACAAAAAACTTGTTAGCATATCTGTGTTAGCCTAGCAGTCATTTTTCATTTGGTTGGTTGTTGGTGGTGGGGTTACTGTTTTTATCAAGGTGGTCGGAGATAGAGATAATTATGAGGCCTAAGACTTGTAGCTCTACATGCTGTATTTTGAGTTGTTGTACTTAACCATAAGACTGTGGACTGCAATTCTAGATACAGAGGGGAAAAACGCAGCTCAACGGCAGTTCTCTGTGTGTGTGCTAATACACCATACCAGATACACATTATGTTGGCTAAAATAGTATTATTGCAGACAGTTGTTCTATCTTGTATTTGTTGCATGATCACACGGACAGCCTTTAAGCAAGATTGGGACCCCACAGTAACAGGTAATTTAGAAATAGCTATAGGCAATCTGTGCCTCCCTGCCTCCCAACAGATAATGTTAAGGGACAAAACAGCCTGGAAGGATGGGCAGGGAGGTCATCCTCCCATTTTAAAGATAGAGAATGAGGTAAAGCAGGCTGGTGTGTGGTAAGCCCAGAGTACTCTAACAACTTACATCACTGATTCATAATGGGGAGTGGTCAATGAGCTGCCAAAATTTGAGTGTGCACCAGTAATTATGACTAACCAGGTTCAGATGGTCAGGAATTGTAGGGGAATGTAAATAAACTAAGGAAAGGAGCAAGGTAACAGCAAAGCTGAGTTTTAGACATGTTCTTTAATGCACAGTGGAGGGGAAACAGTCCTTTAGTCTTCTGGTTTCTGTGTGGCAAGCAAACCACATCAACTGGGGTGATGGTCCTCTTTCCTCTGTGCTACATATGGAAAAGGTCTTCCCTGAACTGGCCCCAGATGGACTTTTGTGTAGTAGAGAAGGGAGGAGTTTATACGTTATTAACAGCTCTAGCCCTGTGAATGAGCATGAGGTTCTCGTGAACAGACGTTGAGGATTAAATAAGAGGAGAAAAAGCTGCATGAGTGAAGGTTTTTTTAGGAAGCAATCTTACATTTTATTTTTAGATCTCTTATAATGTACATTTATCAGTAAATTCAGCTTTCCTCGTAGACTTACAAAAGCAATTGTCCCACTGTTGGAGGAACTGTTTGCGTGCAACAAAAGTGCCATCATAGAGTCCAAAGAGAAAGGACCTTCCCTTTCCAAAGCGGATATGTCACACTGATACAATTTTGCTGGAGAAGTCCTGACAGAGCTGGCATTATCTGTTCAATCTCATTTCATCATCTGTTCGGTTTAAATTAGTGGAGTTTTGGCAGGGAGTGGGAATGAGATAGAATAAAGACATCCTTGGACCATTCCATGCCCTTTTCTTGTGGATATTTCTACTAGTAATTCTCGACTCCCTTTCCATCAACATGGCTGTATATATACGAGTAAATTTCTACTCACAGGTGCATGTAGATATTTGTATATATATGTATATATTTATATCCAGGCATTTTTAAATTTTTACACTTCTGATTTTTTTTTCAAATTTTGTCGGAACATTTATTTTAATCTCCCTGTTGTTCAACTTGATCAGCATTTTAAAGAAGAATCTGTTTTGAGATAAAGAGTGGACATCAGAATATTGGCATCGTCTCCCATTCTCTGAAATGCACCATGCATTCATCAGCAATTTTTCCGAGCACAACAGTTCCCCTTCTCATCGTTCAGCAAGACCGTGCTATCACTGGGCAAGTGCCCAAGCCTCGTTGCGATGTACACAACACGCCACCTCCTGATACCAGAGGTGAAGGTGCTTCCCAATGAGCCAGATAACAAAATTAAAATGTCCTCCTACCCGCGCACAGCTCACGGTTCTGGCTTAGACAAGACCAGCTGCCAGTAGGTGTCAAAGACTTACAGCTCTGGTGCTGTCTGCAGAGGCATTCATGCTGCCAGTCCTTTCCTGCAGGGTTTTCCTGTAATTCTGTTCCTTTTTTGTTAAAAACTAATTGTGAGGTGACAGAGGATGCGAGAAAGAGAAGAAAGGATTCTGCTTGTTCTTTTGTTATCGGTAGCCCAGGACTTTGGCATTCGATCCATCTGTGGGGAAAAGCTGTCAAAAGGCAGAAGGAGGGTTCAGAAAGTTGGAGTGGCTCCAAGGGCTCAGCACTGAAAATTAATTTCTTGATAGGCGTGCTTCTTGGTAGTCTGGTCATGGGGGGTCAGATGCTGTGGACACAGGGAAAGAAAACAGAACATGACTGGAAGACAAAACGATGTCCCATCTGGGCCACGGTTAGAAATGAGAGAAATGTTCACAACCAGCCACTTTGGCCCCTTTTCTTCTGCTGCTGAGGAGTTTTAGTACTGCCAGGAATTAGAGGCACGGGGGTGGTCGGAGTTGGGAGTGGAGCCAGCATGTGTGGGGCCGAGCGCCACAGGAGGGCCTGGGGCCGCGGAGCTGGCGGGAGGCCGAGGGGAGTGGGTGCTGGGCCCGGGCTGGTGTCACAGCCTGCGGGACGCCAGCCTGGCACAGGATGGTGGTGGTTAAAGGTACAG